CACCACCCCATTGCTTGTGTTCATAGGCCATGCATTTAAGTATATAAGTTTTTTGGTTTATCTCTTCTCATCCCCCCATCCCCACATTGAGATATGTCATTCTGTTTCATGCCTTCATGCTTTAGGTCTTATTTTGCTGGTCAATTGAATGGACCCAAAGGGCTAACTACCTCCTAATGGTAGTTATATAAACAGCTGGTAAATATTTGACACGGTGCTGGTCAATTCATTTTGTTCATTAGATTCAACAAATATCATGTGATATTCGTCTTTCTCAGATTGGCTTATTTAACTTAGCATAGTAGTCTTCCAGGTCCATCCATAAATCCAGTATTTATGGGTTCAGTGCTGCCACATACAGTTGTATAGGGTTGGGTTGAAATCCTGCTTGGGCTCCATGTGGCAAGCCATATAAGGGTTAAAACTATTTGATTTAGTCCAGTTTTCCCTTCATTTTATATTGAACTTATCACTATGCAAATATTTGTCAAACACTATAAGAAATATGAAGCATTAAATATATTAGGGTAATTAGCCGTGAACACATAAATTAGAGAAAGAGTATCACTGGATTAATGGGAAGGGTGGTGTATGTCTGCTTAGAGAATTAAGACCAAAGGGTGTACCAAGGTGTTAACTGTGTAGTGAAGGCAACACAACAAGTAGGAATAAGTCATTCCAAAAGGACTAATGGATGATGGGCCCTTAGAGCTGGCTCCAGCAGGCTCTGGGATTAGTGGGGAAAGAGGGGGAAGAAAAGAACATGAACACCGACATGACAGTAGGATTAGACATGGTGAGGGCTAGACACCTGCATGAGTCTTACCTGAGGGAAGTATTCCCAATGTGTGGTTGGGATGGACTGGCCAGGTAAGGCCAAGTCTCAGAGGCCTTAAAATCTCAATGTAGGCATTCACGTTTGATGTGATAGGATATGTGTTCTGAAGTTGACAAATAGGATGGTGTTTGGGGGGAGGGTTATAGAGTAGAGCTCTATAGACCAGTGGTCGGCAAACTCATTAGTCAACAGAGCCAGATATCAATAATACGACGATTGAAATTTCTTTTGAAAGCCAAATTTTTTAAACTTCAAAAGCCAAATTTTTTAAACTTAAACTATATAGGTAGGTACATTGTTATTAACTTAATTAGGGTACTCCTAAGCTGGCCTTTGCTAAAAATGTCCTCAATCTGAGGGGTCGACTTCAGCGAACGTACCCCCACTTCTTCTAACGCCACTTCTTCAAAATAGACTCGCCCAGGCTGAAAACCGACTTCTGCGCATGGGCCACGAAGTTTCAATCGCACTGTACGTGTGTGCTCGCGCGTGGTATTTTGTGGAAGAGCCACACTCAAGGCGCCAAAGAGCTGCATGTGGCTTGCGAGCCGCGGTTTGCCAACCACTGCTATAGACCATCTCTACAGGAGAGAGATATTAGGGGCTGGGGATGGCCCAGGGATCGGAGAGGAAATGCTGATTTTGAGGGAGGCATCAGGAGAGAAAGAGGAAACGTTAACAGGCTTTGATTTTGACATTAGGAGGTAGTTAGCCCTCTGGGTCCATTCAATAGATAGAAATCATACATTAGGTTAATCAGGGGAAGTTTGAGATGAAGAATTGTTAACTATAATGAAAGAGTAATTATAACATATAAGGAAACTGTGTGGTGCTCTAGAGTTGAGAGAGGGTCCAAGGAAGGACATCCTTGGAAGGGGCTCAGACCTTGTTTGAGAAGGTGTGGTTTGGCCACCAGGTATCAGAGATGTTGACTAGTTTGGCCAGGGTGGGACTGGTCTGGAGGTGCTGGGTAAACAATAGGCCACAGAGTGCAGCCGGGGATCAGGTAATGAGCAGTCGGTGGCTGGGTGTGCAGTGGACACAAGGTCGACAGAGCACACAGGCCACAGGGTGCTTGCAGGGGGAATGCCTACTTGGTGTTTGACCCTCTGGGCCACAAGGGCTGCCTGTAGATTGTGCAGGGCCTTCACTAACGAGTCCTGGGCTGCAGCCAGTGGGAACCTCTGGTGTCCATGCTGAGAGGGCTGAGGACAGGTTATCACCAGGCTCAGGCTGCAAGGTCGCAGATGGACCGTGTATGGGTCCGTGGCTGGGGCAGACTTGACCAGATTTCTGACACCACACAGCCTCTCCTGAGCACAGGCTGGGAATTGCAGGAAGGTTGGTGCCTGTTTTAACTCTGTTTATGTTCTCTAACGCAGATTAATGCAACTCCTTGCCTGCATGCTGCTCGTCTCCTAGTCTCTCTTTATATGGCACTTTATATTTGTCTGTCCCCTCTTCCATCTCCACTGGGTGATGACTGGATTCCAGGGAGCTTCTTTGTCATTGTGGGAGGGACTATCTGATTCACGGTCATCCTCTTCCCACTGTTGGCTTCTGCTGGGATGGGACTTGCCCTCTACCTACCTGTGAGTTACTGGCCTCTGTCACTGTGGAATTCAGTATGGCATTTTCGGCTTCTCAGTCCTGACAGCAGATGCTGGGGGTAGTGGAGTCAGGTGGTCTGAAAACTTGGACTAATCAGTGGAATTGCCAGTCCTCATGTATAGCAGGCTACTTTTTCTACTTTACTCTTGCTGGCCTGAGAGTGGCATAGGAATGGGCATGGGCCGTGAGTTTGACATGCTTGAGCCAGATTTGGGTCCCTGCTAAGGATTCTCTGAACTCCACTCCTTTCTCTTCTATTGGTTTGTTGCACTCTCCTTTTAAAAACTCTTCTCTTTAAAACTATTCTCTTCTTTAAAACTATTCAGTTTGACTGCAGTATTTCATTTTGCCACTGGATCCCATGACATAGTGCACATTGAACCCAGTCCTAAGAATTCCAGATTCAAACTTTTAAAATATACCCAAAATAATGTATTTAAAAAATGGTTTCCAGTTTTATTCTCTCTTTTTCTGATGAGTGAGGTCAAGCATCTTTTCATCTATAACTTGGCATTTTGTATGATCTGTGAATTATCTGCTCATAGCTTTTGACAGTTTATATATTGTACTGTTTAGGTGATATACTTTTAATTGACAATTAATGGTAAAATTACCTTAAATCTAATATTCTTAAAGGTCATAGCAGAATTTTAAAATAACCCTATCTTTTTCTGAGTGGTGGTATGTTTGATATCTGTGACCCTCTGCACGAATAAGGGATTTTTTAAAAAAAAGTAATTTTACACTTATGATAAAATAATGTTGGTATGTATTTCTTCTAAAGTGCTCAGTGACTTATTAAAATAAAGATTTTTCATTTTTTTGCAATTTGAAACAAACTGCAATGATCATAAATGTAGGTTTCTTTAAAAATCTATTTTTGATAAATGAGACTTTAATGTGATAGAATG